TCATTCTTTAAGCACGAGATCTTGTCCTCTTTTAAATTGAGGTCCCAGAGGCAGAGTCCTTGGAGAAGCGTTTATGGTTGAGCGAAGCTTAGGCCTTGGACTGCTGTCTAGAAATAGATTCAAAGTAGACTTGCTGCAAGACCTGGGGCCAAGGACTGCTTAGGAAGAATAGCAACCATTGGAGGCAGCGACAATTTGACTCAACCTGAAATAACAGTGAGTATTAGGTCTGAAAGAAGCTTGGAGAAAACTTGCATCAAGGACCAGGGCCAGTGAGTGCTCCGGAACACGGTCCCAAACATCGGAAAAACGGACTTTGATGTGACAACTCTTGCTGTTCTTAGTGGAAAAGCGCTCTGACAGACGCGCGCCACTAAGTGGCTTGAAGCCGCAGGGGACCTAGGTGAGTTTGCTGTGGCTGTAAAGTAACTGACTATATGTGCTGCTGTAAACCTAGTAGTATCCACCTGAAGGGGCGCATGCGCATTGACAGAGGTATGTGAGGACTGTGCTGTGCTTTCTTTTTAGTGACTTAGATCTCTCTTCTCTACAGTATGGGTTGAGCGGTACTATCTTTGTGTAGATGTTGTTGAACCTCTTGCTGGCCGACAGGGATCAAGCAAGCCTGCTCAAGATGACTTGGTTAGTATTGCGGAGTGGTGAATGGGAGGCTAAATACTTATGCTAGTCTTAGTCTTGTAGAAGAGAGCCTGCTTGACCTCTTTGTTGTGCTTGCTAGCAAAGCTCTTCAGCTCCACCCGTAAGAATGCCAGTGGTAAGGGCAGCGGTAAGGACGGCGCCACTCAACTAGGAGTGAAACTAGCTGTTGCTGGAGAGTTGACTTGAAAAGGTGGTAGAGTGCGGATGGAGGGAGAATTGGAAGAGTAAGATAGGTGGTGGTGTGAAAAGGACCTGAGTCGCTGATGTGTGGAAGTAAAGGTGTCGCCGGTTGCCGACTTTGAGCTGCCGCTTCCGCGATGACCTCGCACATCCAAATTAACACCTAATGTGTTAGCTTTCCCGAGCAATCGCCCACGCACATCCGCACGGGAAACCCTTTAGGACGTACCATGTGTCGCTTCCAAAACCTAGCTGCAAAACCTTGATAATGTTTAGTTCCTTTGAAATGTCGCTGTAACTGAGCTGTGAGGGTCCGATTCTCCATTTTCTCACTACGCCCCCGAAGATGATTCTCTCATGTCTCTTCTTGAATCTTGGGACAAATGAACCAAAGCTCTCAATATGCTAGCATCGGGCTCGAGTATCTGATTAAACCTAGACTGAAAATCCATTGACCGTAGCATTTTTTAGCAGTGTTGGTAGCAGTCGTAGGTAGAACAAGCAAGCATCAGATCAAAGGAAATATCAAAAGCCGCATGCTTTTAGGAGGGCTATTCCCTTAGCTAGAGCTTATGTGTATAAAGAATGCAAGAACTGTTCTCCTTCCTCCTGTATGTGGAAACTAAGCCCCCCTGTCTTTACTGTAATGATTCACCTGCATCCTCTCAAGATCCACACGCATCATGATTACTAAGTAAACCACCACTAATATCCTCCCCTAGCTCTCTGCCTGTACGCGGGTCGCTTTTTCATCTTCAACATTAGAGCAATCTGTAGTGGATATATAGTAGATGTGTCCTGACAGAGTCCTTAGGGTATACTTGCTTCAACACTTTCCACTTTCAATACCGCTTATACCAGAGTCCCAGCATAGGGTTGCCTCATAATCTGACTGCTTCCTGAAGATACCTCCAAGCGCTCTCTTGTTGCCATCTTTGCGAACCTCCATAATTGCTCACTCGCTAATTGAGACTCGTCTGATGTTTGGAAATACATGGTAATGACTGTGATAGGCAAAGAGTATGCGATCTTGTCCTCCATCTCTGGCCCTGGCATGTCTTCGAACGAACCAACAGCAACCGTCTCTGGTACTGAGATTGAAATTTCCGTATGAAGTGGTGGACATCATTATCCTCGATCCCTCGAAGGCAAGCACGCATGCAAAACGAGAGCCTCAGCTTCAGCGATCCGGCTACGGCAGAGGCCCACTCGGTGCGCTGGTGATGATGGAGCGGAGGCACAGCGGGTGTGGCGAAGGCGGGAGGCAGACCAGAAGGGGCGCGGCCGTAGCGGTGGCCACCGGTGCGGCTGACGTTGCTGTTGGGTGTGCGCTGCGAGGTGGTGCACTGAGGGATGGTGGGAGGCGAGTGGAATTGGTCTTCCAGGACGTCGGCCAGTTCGTAGCTCCCATCGAGATGAAGACGTTTAAGCCTGGCTGGAGCTTGGAGGAGCGACTTGATTCCTTTTCCAATCCAGTCATGGTCGTAGACCTCTTCAGCGTCCCAGAACTGATGAAGGGCGATGCATCTATGTAGAATCAGTTAGATGGAGCCTCTATGGGATGATTGGAGCATCAGACTTACTCGGTCATCTTGAACAATGCCACAGGCGGATGCCTGAGAGTCGCAACGAGCCTTGGTGTGAAGATTTCCGCGACGTGACCTTGGATCACTGCGGCGTAGTGCTGCTGGAGATTGTTCCTCCGCATTCTACTCTTGCGGAGCAGCATGACGGCCTTGGAAAGCCGCTCTTCAGCAAGATCCTTGACTTGTCTGTGGACAAGGAGAGAGACTGGAGGGTTCTGGTTCCATGTACCGTCTCGGCATGCGCGACGTCTTCGATGATGAGAACAAGGAGCTCCGCAGGAAGGGCAAGAAGGAAGGGGATCAATTTTTGCTTTGCGCGAGCAAGATGTCAGTGGAAGTGGACAAGGTTTGACGGAAGAAAAAGAGAACTTACGGTATCCATCTTGTTCGGAATGTTGCGAACCATGACCGTGGTACAAACGTCAACTCCGTCACGAATGTTACGCAGGTTGATGGCTTTGGCAGCGTCGTCGGCGTTGCGACCGCCGCGGCGAGGAGTCAACGCCGTGGTGCTCTGGCGGGGGCGAGGGACGACAAGAGACATCAGAGCCGTGTTCTGAACCGGCTGTAGTCAACAACCGTCATGAATCACATGCCTCGGGAACACAGCGATAATTGTCGACATCTTGATTGCGTTGCTCGATGGATGGCGGCAGCAGACTGTAGAGCTGTCAGTTGATGGATGGTTGCGGCAGATCTGGTGCTGATGGTGAAAGGCAGCGCGGAGGAAGGGCGAGAGGAGTCGCGTCGACTGCCGGCAAGAGCCTCAGGCATCGTAGCAACAAGAGGCGAACAGCAACTTTCGAGTCTCGAAGTGTTATTCTGGCCGCTTCCCTCGTCTTGTTCTTGTCCCCATGCATGATCGCAAAGCGACACCACATAGACACAACAACTTCTCTTCGTCCAGTTTGTCCCGCAGATTTTCCAACCACGTCATCATCTGCTTTTCACTTTCCATTTCTGCACGTCTCAAAGCCAGCCTCAACTTGGAGCATCCTCTTGTCCGTCTCATCATCGCCGAAAACTCGCGTCTTCAACAGTAATCCTCTTCTGCTCAGACGGACGGCAAGTCGCCCAGAACTGTGAAGACGCGCTGTCTCAGCCTCTCGTCAATCGTCATTCCTGCGCAAGGCCGCTCGTTCATGGCAGACGCTGACCATATATAGTAACAAAGTCCATCCAGCAAGCTCCCTGACCAACCGATCGTCCCCCGCTCCCGTACACTCGTCAGCGTGACAGCGATTCAAACGCAAACACCTCCTCCTCCCTCCGTGTCCTTCACATCTATACGCGGCAAACTCGTCCAGCCAGCCTTTTGCAGGAGCCCATCGAGCCCCGAGGGTGGAAGCCTCTGAATGGTCAGCACATTCCTCTTCGGAACACCAACGACGGCAGGGGCTTGGCCATTGGCCATTGCCCTTCCTTAGTTGCGTAGAAATCAAGCTCAGCAGCAAGGCGCTCCAATCGAAGCAGTGGACCGCAAAGTCGTCAGTCGTGTCTTGGTTCCAAATGCGTCTATCGCGTCCTATCAGGATGACTTCCTCATGTTCGGCAGTGCCAGGAGGAGACTACTTGATGTTTTGGTGTGTCCCAAGCCGTGAGAGCGCGAGCCGGTCTGTCACTATTGCAAGGAGTTTCGGTGCCTCTTTCACACCGAGGCTCCTGGTATGGCATTAGCAGTTTTCATGCGGACACAACGGCCGCTCTGCTCCGCTCGACTCACTTATTTCAATACACACATCAGCACTCGACTCTTGCTCTCCGTCTTTCCATCCACAGATTCGCTCCTTGCCAACTACCACCGCGCACGACGACAGCCTCGCCACACCTAGCAACAGACAGACAGACAGACTCTGCCCGAGCTACAGCCACTCCGACCAGCAAGACGACAGAAATCGAAGCTCCAAGTAACAAGTCTGCATCCGCCCTCTGTGCGGCCTTCTTATCAAGACCACGAACCCGTGTCGACGACGCGACCACTTCTCTTACCTGCCCCTGGGCCTAAACCAATGCTGCCAGGCAGCTCTTCAACAACACAACCCCCCGGACATCGGCGACATGTCGCCAAAACAATGTGCTTTCCCCAGTATCCAGCGAAAGAGCATGCGTCAGGTAAGACGCCCAGACAAAGACCAGATCGAGCACGTCAAGAGGAGCCCGTGCGAAAACCACGGATACATCACGGTCGGTCAATCAGTCGACCATCTGTCGCTCAGAAAAGATCGAGTCAAGTCGTGCGCAGTCGAGAAAAAAGGTCGAATTTTGAGAAGCTGAAGCTCTAGTAGCCCAGAGCATGCAGACGCGGTAGCCCGTCCGCTTCAACTCGACCTGGATCCTCTTTGCGGCGCAGTCGTCGACAAAACAGCCGCAGCTCGCTCGCTCGACAGCTAGCGACCTGTTTATGCCGCGCTCGTCCTCATGCTCTTCCTCTTCTTTCCCATCATTCAGAGCCCCGTGTCAATCCCACCTCCCTCCCTCATCCGCCCACCAGCCAAACCCAACACAAAACGAAAACATCCTACCCCCGACTCCAACACCCCACCCCATCGCGAAACGAGCAAAACAAAAGAGCAATGCCCACTCTCGGAATCGAACCGAGGATCTTCTCATAACCGTGTCGTACACCAAGCAACGCCGGTGCCATACGAGTGAGACGCTGTACCACTAAGCCAAGCGGGCAATTTTCAATTTCTTATCTCTTACCGCACCACGCGTAACCTAAAAATAGCAGGAAAATATTCGTCGGAATGGTGTGCAGGGGAGGTAAAAATGGGAGTGGAAGAGTGAAGGAGTGGCTGGCTGGCTGGCTGTGAGCAAGGGGCGCAGAGGGAGCGAGAAAGGGGTGACGGATGAGAGGGGATGGAGGGTTTGCTGTCGCCACGTGGCAGCGCGGGAGGGCGCCGGCGGGACGGGGCGGAGCGAGCACGAGCCGGCGGACAGGGGCGGAAAAAAGGGCTGCGACACCGCGCTGCGGCTCCCATCCGGCCGTCCTCCTTCGTCGTCTGTTGGTGATTGATCATCGCGCATCGCTTTCTTCGGTCGACCGCGGGAACAACATGAAGGCAAGCAGGAATAAAGGGGTCTCTCTTCCTCGGCTTCTTCTCGTCGTGGCGCCGCCGACCGCACCACACCCGCACGCCCCACCCCACCACACAACCTCGCCCCCAACAGCACACTCCACCTCCTCCTCCCTCCCTTCTCACCCCCAACAATCCTCTCCCTCCCCAGCCAAAACAGAAGCGCAAAAAAGCTGGATACTGTGGGAATTGAACCCACGACCTTTCACATACGTAACGTGCTCCATCAACTACAGATCTCGAAGTCTCGAGGCTCCAAAGGACGGTTGTTGCGAAGCGAAAATCATACCCCTAGACCAAGTACCCGGGCGTGCGATGAAAATTCTGTCGCAAGAGAGGGTTATGTTTTAATGGTGTGGAGGGGGAATGTGCGAGATAGGAAGAGCAAAAGTGTTGAGGAAGAGAGCTAGGAGAGGGAGGAAGGGAGCATTGAGATGGGGGAATGAGAAGAGAGACGACCTCCGAGAGGAATTTTTTGGTGCCGTGCTGCGCCGGTGGTGCGCAAGCCGCAAAAAAGTGAGGGCCCCGACGCGAGTGGAGTGGGGCAGGGCGGGGAAAACCCGGGCGGCCGTGGTGGCAGCAAGCGAGGAGCGAGGACTGGAAGCGAGGAGCTGCCCATGGTCAAAATGCCATCAAGGCGTCACTCGGCTTTTGAGCGGAGCGCAAACGAGACTGCTGCTTGGGCGAGGGATTGTGGCAAGAGAGGGGCGTCGACGGGATGGCTGAGGTGTTGGAGGTGGTGCGGGCGGAGGCGACGAGAGGCTAGCACGGCAGCATCCGGTCGACAGACAGCAGTGGATTGTGGAAACACGGAGAAGACGAAGTGATGGATGGTAGATGGATAGACTACATAGGCTGCGCTTCTGTGTCGCAGCAACAGCAACAGCAACGGCAACGGCATGGCAACTGGGTGAGCGTGTTTCAATTCGGCAAGCCACGCGGCATAGCAACTGAAGCAGGGTCCCGACGCACAGAATTCCTGCCGTTGACGGTTAGACTAACGCACTTGGCGGCGGGGGGACCGAGTGGGCGGGTGCGTGAAGGAGACGACCGACGGCGATGAGAGAGACTTGACTTGCAAGGAACTAAGAACGGGGGAGAAGTGCGGACCAAATAAAGCGTGCTGGAAGGATGGAAAGGAGACGTTGGATTTGAATTGTTGTCGATTCTGTCTACAGCGTCCCTCCTCGTCGCAGAAATAAACGCCCACTTTTTCGTCGTCGCCAAGCGGGTAACGGGTTTCTGACTGGCGATTATCCGTCGATTGGCTACTCAGTCTTACTCTTCTAGACACAAGTCAGCATCGCATCTTCAAAGAGAACGGCGAAAGTGAGCGGCGAAAGAGAAAAGGGGTAACGGGACGCCACCTCTCCAAGACGAACCTCATTCTTGTCCTGCCGGACGGAAACACCCAAATCCGACGACACCAATGCTCTCCGCAAATCTTCCCTCCAACCAACGTCTGCAATCAGTGGCGCCATCTCACTCGTCAAACGTCGTGCGCGAGCCCGACCAAGGCGTCTGACACCATGCCGTCTTGCCGGCCCGCTTCCAACCACGCCTGCGCACCTTGCCCCTCCCACCACCGCGCTCGCCCTTCCTCATCTGCTTCTCCCTAGCCCTTTCATTCCGGCGTCGATTCCTCTCCTCGCGAATGCGGCGGTTCAGCGCGCGCGTCTGCGCAAGGCACGCCGCCGCGCTCAAGCCTCTGGCCACGCTCTCAAAGTGTGCGCGTTGCGGCGCGTAGAGTGCGCTCTGAACGGCCAAGCGGACGCGCCACACGCGCTCGACGTAGCCCATGTCGGCGCGGAAGGTGCGGCACACGAGGCCGACGCGCGTGGCCTGCGCGATCATGGCGTGTGGGCGGCGGTCGTCGCCGAGGTCGTCGTCACTCAGTAAGTTGAGGAAGATTTGCTGGCGCAGCTCGCGCGGGAGGCCGGCCAGGCTGGCGCGGGGAGGCGTGGGCGGGTCGATTTGCAGGGTGAGTCGCTGCGTGTGGAGGAGCGTGGCGGCGCGGGCGGTTTTGTATTCGCGGCGGGTGAGGAGGCTGGAGGCGAAGTCGGCGCGGTGAAGCTGCAGTTCGTGGGATGTGGCGATATTGAGGGCTTTGAGTTTGTGCCGGATGCGCCGTTTGGCTGCGATTTGCTCAGTGCGGTCGATGGGCTGGAGGTGAAGCCGGCGGAGGCGGCGGGATGCGCTGGTACCCATGATGCTGTGATCTTGTGGTGGATGGAGAGATCTGATGGGAAGAGGTGGTTGAGGGAAGAGATGGAGAGAGGCGGAGAGACAAAAGGTTGCGAACAGTAACAGTATGCACTCTACCAAGCTAGTCTCTTTTCAGCAGTCAGTCAGTCCCACCCCCTATATGTAGTCTTTCATCACTCCCGGGCGCTATCAGAGAAGACGACGGATACACGTGTTGAAAGTGTCGGCAGCAGGCAGCACACCACCAGAGTAACAGGGGAGATACTCGACAGGCGCGCCGGGCTTGTGGTGACCTCGCCGCCATCTCCAGTATCAGCAGCTTGCTTGCTTGCTCGCACGCCGCGAAACCTCGTCCTCTCGTGAAGGAGAATCCTCGCTGATTCCAGTGCCGAAAATGTCAACCGGACTTTCCTCGAGAGCTGCAATGTCCTCCTCCGTCAGGTCGATGCCGGTGGTGGATTCGACACAACCAAAGAAGACACGCCACAAGTAGGGGGAGAAGCTTCTCATGATGCTATATATACGCAGCAAAACCACCAGCCAACCATGCTCAACCGAACAGCGGAGCAAGCGTCTTATACGCGTCAAAAGGCACTGCTTGCGCTGGAAGCAGCGGCTCAAACACCAGCAGATCATCAACAGGCTCGAAAAGCAGGGAATTCTTTGCGTGTGACAACGGCGCGGTGGCAAAGTCGAAGCAATTGCCTCCTTCCGCTCCCAATCAGGTTACCAGCTTGGAGTGATGAAAAACTGTGTGTAGAAAGCGGCCAAAGAAACACGACCACCGACCAGCCCTGTACACTTGCTGCCCACGAGTGTTTGGCAGACACACATCCAACCAAAGCCAGCATCCAGTTGTCGCTACGGATGAGCGAGCGAATCTGATTGATTGATTGCGCTCAACCCACCTACCCACCCATCTACCCACCCTTCCCGTATCCCTGCCATCCATCCATTGGCCGTCGCCGCAATGTCGCCCCTGCAGAACAAATCTTCCATTAGCCACAGCCCCCAAGCTTGGACTGATTACCGAGTCTCGAGTGGGACCAAAAATCGGGCCAGAGCAAGTTGCCGGCCCACCCACGCCGCAACGCTGTCGTGTGCAGCGTGGAGACGTGAGGCGCCGGCACCTGGCGGACCGCTTCAGACACTGGCGCAGTCTGCCGCTGTGCTGTCCGCCACAAAGATAGGCGAGGGGGCTGGTAATGTGGGAGATAGGAGATGGGGTTTTCGTTTCATCGTGTGTGTATCCTGCGGTGTGTCGGGACAGGGGTGAGGAAGCAGGCCGCTTACATGCGACGGGTTGTTGTGCGTGTGATGTTGAAACATGCAGTCATAGGATGGAGGACTGCGATTTTCTGGAGAGTCTTTCGTGATACTGCGTGTAGCAACGAGTCAGCAAGAGAGAGCGAGGAAGCAGCTCCAAGAAATGAGAGTGGAAATGGCAGGATCAGACGGAGGAAAGTTTCCGCAGCGACGAGCTCGGAACGAACGAGACCAGTATAGGTAGTCATCATGAGGGACTGGGGCCGGAAGGATATGGGGGGAGTAGACACTTAACTAAGCCCGCGCCATCCGCAGAGGCGGCAAAGCATTCATGCAATCGACCCTTTTCTGCGAAAAGAGAGCAGTCAGCCAAAGCAACCACCAAGATTTCAGGAGCGCAAGAGAGAGCGGGAGGGGAGCATCAGAAGACCAGTTGTTTCCACAGCATCATCGTCGGAAGGAAGATGAAAGCTTGTTGTGCATCATAGGCGGAATTGTGGGAGGGGAAACGCAGCCGTGAGACGGACCTTTTGACGAACTGAAAGGATAATGCAGCAAAGCTTGACGGATAGAGGGTGCGACCGATGGATTCTGGAAGAGAGTGGTCAGCGAGAGCCGTGGAAGTGTTTCGTGACAAGGCAAAGAGGGCGCGGGAGTGTCAGGTGTAGGATGATGTCTCCGCAGCGACAGTCTCAGCAGGTCGAAGGTGAAAAGTCACCACGGAGTATGGTGGAGAGATTTCAAGGAAGGACAAGAGAGCTCAACGTACGTCTGAAGTCCTGGCCATCATCCAAAGGACATGTGGTACCCCAACAGCTGTGAGGTCATTGTCTTTCTTGCGGTATCCCCGAGAGAGTCGACTGGTGTTGCTGGCACTTCTGATACGAACGTTGAGCAGAGGCGGGACGGCACTGAAGTCGATATCCTCTTGGCGGTAAGAGCGGGCATGGGGACTGGCGTCACTGGCTGTTCTAAAAGGAACTTTGAGTGGAGGCGGGTCAGCGTTGACATCAATGTGATTGTTCGGGTGCGAATATGCAAGAGTTTGGCCGTCACTCGCGCTCCCAATCGCCTCACACTTTGCACGCTTGTCGGCAACGTTGTATAGTTTGACAAGTTCCGCCGTGGAGGGATGGTAGAGACTTGTTGAAGTCCGTGGCCTGCTTTTGACCATGTCCAACGACAGTGTCTAGGGCGGCAAAGGTAGCCGGGGCGCGATGTATCGCTCCCACCTTCTTCTCTCCTTCCCTGAACATCGTGTTGTAAATGCGGTAGATAAATGCGGTAGAAGAGTGCGCCGAGCTGCATCGGAAGGTATTGCATCCCCCTGAAGATGCATTGGTCGTCGACAGGCAGTTGACCAATACAGCAGCAAGTGCTCGTACGCCTGGTGCACGCGGTGGTGCTGGTTTTGGCCATGTCCAAAGCCGGTGCCCCGGGGGTCTGGAAGATCTGGTCCTCGTCAACGCAGTTGTCGTAGGTGGCTGGATCAAAGCGCCCAAGATCCTTGAACGCCCTGGGAGTTGGCCCAAATTGGGCCGTGGTAGCCGTAAGCTGCTCGTGGGTCATGCGCGAGTCTGATGCTCTGCGGTCTTCACCGTCGTCGTCGCCACCGCATCGGCGCTTTCCACTTGGCAGAGACAGTATTTGGGTTACCGGGCTGGTGAGGGTCGCAGATGTAGAAGATGAAAGAGATATCTGGTGAGATGTGAGATGAGGTGTGGTGGAGTGGCGTTGCAGTGTTGTGGTGCTGTGGAGTTGGTTGGATGGAGGAAGGCGACTGTCTTGATACGCACCCGCAAGTCGTTGGCAACGGGCAGGCGCGCCAACTCCGA